CTGTGACAACGATCGCGGCGATCATATGCGTCCTTGAAGGTCAGACAAACTGTATAACACAATTTTCTAACAAACCATTTTAAAAAGTTTGAGACCGTTTCATAAATGTTCATATTTCTAATACGAAACGATTGCTCTCTAAAACGTAATGCGGTCTTTTGCTTTTTCTTCTTGACCATTTTCAAAAGTTCTTGACGTCGGATACGCTGAAGTTCCAAACGAAAGGACCCTGAATGAAATTGCTCGATGACAACCGTCTGCAATGGACTGGATTAAGGGCGGGTAATCGCCGCCTATGCGTTCTTGAAGTTCAGACAAACTGTAAAGCACAATTTGCAAACGCAATACAGATTTTAAGGTTTGAGACCGTTTCATATATGTTCATATTTCTAATAATCAACGGTTGATTCGCCGACAAGTCTGTCTCGTTATCCGTCGAGGAAGTCGCGATCACTTTCTGAATATTTTCCACTTGACGGATAAATCCAACAAAATTTTTTTAATTGCAGTATGTTGATTCATTTGAAGAAGATGTATTTTCATGGCTGCTAACCTTGTGAACAACAAATTACAGCATTTACATTTGAATAAAGTTTTGGTATTCGATTTTGGTGCCGGTTATTTTCTTCATTCTTACAACTCTCCTGTGACAACGATCGCGGCGATCATATGCGTCCTTGAAGGTCAGACAAACTGTATAACACAATTTTCTAACAAACCATTTTAAAAAGTTTGAGACCGTTTCATAAATGTTCATATTTCTAATACGAAACGATTGCTCTCTAAAACGTAATGCGGTCTTTTGCTTTTTCTTCTTGACCATTTTCAAAAGTTCTTGACGTCGGATACGCTGAAGTTCCAAACGAAAGGACCCTGAATGAAATTGCTCGATGACAACCGTCTGCAATGGACTGGATTAAGGGTGGGAGAATGCAATGCGATCAGGACGACTCATCACTGAACGCGGATGGTGGAGGAAAGTAACACGAAATGCGTAGACGTTAGGCAAGACAGATGACGCATGCGCGGTCACGATGCCGAAGCGACTGTTTTCTTTACACGAAATAAACTATAATACACTTAACGTCAGCAAGTGTAATATTATCATAATGTAGATGCAACTATCCTAGTTCATAATATTTTATATATATGTTACCGGCAATATGGATAATCCAGTATTTTTCAAAATGTCTAGGCATTATATAAAATGCTAAAAATCACCCGGAAATTTACATAATACGAGCTTTGCTTAGGTATTATGTATAATGCCAAACGTGGAATAGCAATATGAAGAAAACAAACAAAATTGGGCATCATTATGTATAATGCCAAACGTCAATTAGAAAATATGATAGATAAAATTAGGTACCATATATTACCAACGACTTTACTTATCGTTTATCGTAAATGCGCGTGCTGTGTGTGCACGATTTAACAATATTAAGATTAAGATTCTTATCCTACTATAATTATAATTCTGAGGTACAATATTGAACGTACTCATTGTATTACATTATACAATATAGTAGCTGTTAAGCCAATAATATCTTCTGACTTTTATTCCCGATGCCAAGTTGATTTGATAGATTTCCTCTCAGTCTCATCCTGATGGGAAATTTAAATTCATTATTGTGTATCAGGATCATCTCACAAAATTTGTTGTTCTCAAACCCCCCGAATTCAAGCAAGCCGAAGAGGTAGCCTATAACATTATAGATATTTTCACATTACTTGGAGCTCCTATTATTTCGCAATCCGATAATAGACGAGAGTTTTCAAACCAAATAGTTTCTAATTTAAGAAACATGTTTTTAAGAAACCCGAGTTAATAATAGTACATGGCAAACCGAGACAGCCAATCTCAAGGTAGAGTAGAACGAGCGAATCAGGATATTAAGAATATGTTAAAACGTGGATGCAACATGAAAAAACCCAACACTGGAGCCAAGGACTTCGATTCATCCAGCTAATGAAAAATTAAGCCTATCATTCTGGCATTAAAATGTCTCTTTATGAAGCTTTATTTGGTTGCAAAATAAAAATTGGTTTAAACACTTCAAATTTACCTCATGATGTAATAAGTACGATAGATAATGAAGAACAGTTAGCTGAGTTAATCACAGAACAATCACAAGAAATTAATTTAAACGTCGAAAATGATGTATCAAACACAGAACAACCAAAAGAAGTTAATTTAAGTGTAGATACTGAAGTAGACACAGAACATCTAGTATTCACAACTATTCGAACAACTAAAAAATTGAATAAAAAAAACGCCAATGTCATGCGAACTAGAGCTAAGGAAAATCTTGAAAATCAAGCGAAAAAAATTATGGCGTGGTCGGATAAGAAGCTTTTGCCAGTGGAAGTTCATTCAACTGTACGTGTTCCAGTTCCTGAGGTAGATAAAGGACGTGGAGACGCACGAAATATACTTGCAATAGTTTTAGAGGTAATGAATAAATTAATAAAATTGGTATTTAATGTTAATAAGTAAGACATTTTATTTTTTTAAATGACAAGTGATGGTTTTTATCGATTAGGAACTCGCGATGGAGTTCTGAAGCAGTTGTTAACCCTAGAAGTTAGTTTACAGTATGTCAAAAAATGCTAGGTACTACAAATTGACGAAGTTCCAACAGACACAAAAATGGCGTTACGAACAGTCGCAAAGAAACAAGCCAAGGATTTTTTAAATGCATTTTTAAGACCAAGTGTCAAAATAAAAAGTGCATTTGTCTTAAAAATAACTTTTTTGCACATCAAAATGTCATTTTTCAACAACGTTGTAATAAGTAGCTATAATAATAATATAATAACGTTGAATAATATTTTTTACTTTGCCTAAAAGAAATTGGCAATTTGCATAATGCCTAGGCATTTTGCAGAATACCTGAATTATCCATATTGCTGGTAACATATAATAATAAAATGGTACCTATTATGTGTAAATTCCATGTATTTACGTAATTTATTTACTTAATTATTTAATGGAGAAAAACTTGTCACTAATGAAAATCATAGCACTACTTATTCTTATGTACCAATTTGTATGCAAGTACCTACGAGTATAACATTAATGAATGTACAAAGTTTGTTTTTTGTCATAATATCCTACATGTAAACCGAAAACATTTGTTTTTGCCTTTGTTTTGTTTATCATTGGGCACAGGTCCATGTTATTGGACCATTAAAATGTATTGACATACTTGCAACCAGCTTCTAATTGGTAGAGAAAATAACTACAATATCAGTAATAATATCACTGAAATCATTATAGTATTGATTTGTTGAACATGCGATGGGTAATGCGACTATTATGGAACCGTTGTGTCACGTATCACAACAGAGGACGTCCACATTAGTAGAAGGTCGATTACATTTCAAGTCATACTTTCTTGAAGACTCAGTCACGAAGGTTTTACGACGACCATAATCCCCGGGTTCGGTTCTATTTGGACATTTGGTCGCATGCAGTAAACAGTTACAATTATGATGATACAGATGATCGTGTTACTCACAGTGACATCGGTTTTGCCGTTGCAGTGCACATGCGTATGCGATCGAAACGAAATATTTTACGCAGTTGCAGACGACAATGACAATATTTCGATTCGAACAACAGAAAACGGCAGATTCGTTGCCAAAGTGAGCTACACGCATTGTATTAATACGACGGGGTAAGTTAAACTATTATTTACGTTCGTAGCCAGATAACATGTTCGGATTAACGAGAATGATATTTAAGTCAATTTTATATGACTCCCCTCAAAGTAAAATGTGTAACTTGCCTACATGTTTTCTATAAATATCCAAAGTATATTATTGTGTAATATCTACTCAACTTTATAATTATCATATTCGAATAAAATTAATATTGTGCAAAGTTCAAAACAAACGATTAAGTACTTAATAAAATAATGTTTTGCTTTAACATGGTTAAATACTTTCATGAGCCCATAGGTGCAACTAGGAAGGACCTCGGGAGCCTCCTAAAATATTTTCATTGCTCTATCAGATTAATAATAATGAGTTCAGAATTTTTTTGTTCGAGATCGAGATAAAATTTAATAATCTATGTCTATATTCTTAATATACGAAATAATTATTTAGAATTTATCTCAGTGCATTATGGCTTTCGTTTTACTTGAGAACATTCAAAATTAAAATTTGGTTCACAAAATCGCGCTTTTTCTTCTTATTGCTAACATTTTAAGTATACCTGTAGTTGTGAGTTGTGATACATTTTATCTGTATGAAAATTGTTAAATGGGATATGGGGGTGTAGCCTTTGAGGGTCATTGCTCTTAGACGTAATCAGTGGGAGGCTTAGCCCCCCCCCCAAAAAAAATTATTCCATGTTATACATAGCATACTGCATACAGCATACTTGACTCACAATAGTGTCACATACAAAAAAAGACTCATTGGAGTAAATCTAACTTGGCTCAGAATATAAAATATATTAACGTGGTATATAAGAGTCGGGGTAATCTACAAGTTATTTTAAGTTTTGGTAGGAGGGTTGTAGACCCCCCCCCAGATTTTTTACCTTAGTTGCGCTTATGTCTATGCTACACACACACACATGAAGTAATACTCATTCAACGTTGTTTATAAAAAATACCGATCCCTTGTTTGACACAAACTTCTTAAAAATTTGATAGGCATTTCGTGATAAAATGTATTTGAGGAGGGCTGCAACCTCACTCTCTATTATAAATATTCGATAGTTCGTGATAAGTCTTTTACATTTTTACTTAAAAAGGACAATTATTTTTTCTAGACTTCCAAGCCTTCTTTGTTCAAGTTTCAAGTTTCTTTCTTCAAGTCTCTTTGAATAGATTTTATGTCTATAAACTAAACCAATCGTTATAGATTTAAATTTTTCATTAATAGATATTTATATACGAAAAAAATCAAAAATATTCTCTGGTTTATGGGATATTATAAATGTTCATTAAATTAGAGTAATGAGACTTAAAGAGTTACTTATAAGAATTTATTTTATTTATACTTAAAAGTCTTAAAATCATTTAATTAATAGTTAAATTGTTTATATTATGTTATATAATTGAATTATTATGGGGTATAGCTTATTTTACATTAAGTATGTTGTCTTATTTAATTTTTAATTAATCGTCACTAATATTTTTATTGATTTAATAAGTCGATTATACATGTTGATAAATTAACTTATTATATTTTCATTTTAAGATGGGATTATCTAGAAATATTAACGTCTTCCAAAGAAGATGATTCGATGCAAGCATATGCCGCTGGTCTGCTGGAAGGATGGATTACTGCTGACTTGATAAATAGTTATTGGTACAATGTCTTTCAAACATTTTGTGTCGGCCGATCAGATTTATGTGTAAAATTGAATGAATACATGCACTCGAATAGAGAATGGATCATATCCCAAGTGATGCTGAAAAATGGATCGGACGCATATTGGTATCAAGTATATTATCAGTGTTATAACTTCCAAGAAAAACAATATTAGTTAATTTATTTTAGGTTGGTTTGATGTACAAGCAACTTGATGGGCTGTATGATGGATATAAGCTGAACATAAAAAAAGGAATGCAGTCTTTATCATGGGAAAATTTTTTGTAAGAATATACAAGTATATTAACATTTTAATAGGTACAATGTATAAGTGTTGTAGACGTTGTAGTTATTTGAAATGTAAATGATTTTTAAACATACATAAAATGATAAATATTTTTAAGTTGGATGAACATTCAAGAAGATTTATATGATTTATGTGATACCTTTAATTCTTCACACCCTCACAAAAAACCATTCGGGACGGGATCGTGTTCGGTTCTCATAAAACTACTACCAGGACACAAAGAGTTATACATTTCTCACGTCACTTGGAACTGGTACATTTATAATATAAGTACCGAAGTTTTATTATAATTATATGGTTGTACGTATGTATTTTAGGTACGAAACAATGTTGAGAATACAAAAGAGGTATCGTCTGAATTATAAAGAAAGTAAATTGTCAAATCAACTAGTATTTGGGCATGACATACAGTTTAGTTCGTATCCTGGTTTCCTGTATTCAATGGACGATTTTTACTTAATTTCTTCGGGTTTAGCTATTACCGAAACGACTAATTCTGTTTACAATCCACAGTTATGGGATAATGTTCAGCCAATTGGACAGGTTAGAAATAACATCATATCACATATAACATATCGCTTCTCCGGTGGAACAACGCCGTAAGTGAAAATGTAATTGTTCTTCAGAAAACGTAATTGTTCCATTGGACATGTGATTAAAAACCGGTATTTTCAACAATGACGAAACTGCTCTCTAGAGGTCAATAATAGGTATTATACTTATGTCATTGTTCCATTCGATAAAATGAAATATTATTGTACTGTTGTCGTACTTATGTCTAAAAGTCAAAAATTTGCACTTATGTCGTTGTTCCACCGGCGAAGCGATATAGTTATATTATAAATGCTTTAGACTTGAAATTATAAGAAAATATACAAACATAATCAGAGTTTAGAATTAACCTTAGCACTATTGTACTTTAAGATTTATCATTTAACATTTTTTACTGTACATAGTAGTATGACGCATTGCGCTGTGTTCTTAAAACGTCAGTACAATAATATTCTTTACGAATTAAGAAATAAAATTGTAAACAATTCATTTAAAAATGTACCATATATCCAAAAGATATTAAATAAAAAAAACAAACTTAATGCGAAATAATAGTATTAAAAATATTAGTCATATAATTTAATTTATAATACTATTTACAATTTGAATTATATGCGTAGATAACAATGTGAAATGTATCTTGATAAAAATTATTTTTTCATTGTTAATGCTCAAATTAAGTTTGATGCAGAGAAATTATTTTTTTATTCAAATGAATCACACAGGACTCACGTCATCTTAATATTAATTATGTATATACATTATTCTTTTATGTGAAGTAAAAATATATATCTCAGTTATAATTAAATTTTGTGGGAAGTGGTTGGATCATATAAGAAACAAAATCGCCGGCGTTGACAAACTATAACTATTCGTAATAATTCTCTTTTTCGTAAAAAGCAGCGTGATGTTATTTTTACACTCGAGCACACTACATTGTATCTATATATATACCTATGTATACATAATAACTGACTAATCCTTCAATGTAGAGTAATAAACAAAATATTTTCACAAATTGATTTTTTGTTACATTTTTGCAGATATTAGTTTTCATTCGTGCCATGGTTGCAAATCGATTGGCACCTGACGGATTGGCTTGGACCAAATTGTTCAAAAAATATAACAGTGGAACGTACAACAATCAATGGTTGTTGATTAATTATTCACTGTTTCGACCCGGTCGTAAAATGCCTAAAAACGGGTTACTCTTCATCCACGAAGAAATGCCTGGTCTTACGGAGACGCAAGATGTGACCAAACAGTTTCTTAGCCAAATGTACTGGGCGAGTTATAACGTGCCGTTCATTCCGGAGATATTCAACGCGAGCGGACAGGGTGATATGGTTAAACGATACGGAAATTGGTACGAACGAACATACCCGATAGAAACTATTATTTTAGAATGCTATAAAAAGCACTTGATTTCAATTTTGTTGTCAACATATGTACGTTTAGGTTTTCGTATCGAAACACTCCTCGAGCCCGAATATTTGCCAGAGACCATGTGAACGTCAAAGATATGTCGTCAATGTTATTTTTGATGCGTTCAAACGATTTCAGAAACGATCCCGAGGCCAGGTGCGAATCATGTGTTCCTCCGTACTCAGCCGAAAACGCTATATCGTCCAGGTAACTGTGGTTCATTACATTATACAATATGGGACGGCTGTATAGGTTAGGTGCATTTAAGATAATCGAGACACGATAAATGTACAACTATTTATTTATTCTACATGGAGTTATAATAAATATTAAGCACCTATAGAATTTACTTTTGTAGTGGTCAGTCAGTCAAGTGTGTGTGGTCAGATTCATGATTGTGATTTTTTTTTTTTTTTTACAGAGACGACTTGAATGACTTGAATGGCGTGTACCCATTTGAAGCGTTGGGTTACTCTAATTGGGGTGCTATAGATGCCAAAATAACCAGTTACAAGATGTTTAATGAACATATGTTTCTTTCAGTCTCCGGACCGACGAAAGGTACTAATGGTGTTCTCGGAAAGTATTGTTGGAGTAGAACTCAAGTTAAAAATATCAGTCATGTTGGACTTCCAGACTGTTGGGACTTTAAACCCGAAACGCATCATTGGGTCTTTTAAAGTTTTATTTCAGAAGCCAGAGGGCTATAGGAGCTTCGCGTTTTTTTAACATCTCTCTCTTGAAATGCAAAATACATTTTTAATAATTATAATAAATAATTGTATTTTATAACATGAATGAAGCGTTGCTATTGCAATACGTTGTGCGAATAGGAAACAATGTACATATCAACCAAAACTTTAAGAATAAGTAACAAAGAAATCATATACTCGTAGATTATTAAATTATGTTTTCAAATATATTTTAGTTAATTCTGTCGTTTTGATAACCATTTTTTACATAGGCATATTCAATTTATATACAGTAAATACTAAATAGTTGTAGGTATATTTTTCTTGATTGAAAAGTAAAAATGATAAGTTGTGATGGCTATCGAACAATTGAGAATGTTATTCCTTTTTGGCCGAACGATTGAGAACACTTAAAATTAACAAAGAACTTACCGCTGACCCAAAAAAAACCCAAAAAAATTACGCGATTGAGAACGAATTTATGTGCAACTTTGCCATAGTTTGATATATCTTTTATTTGGTTTTTGAAAAATTCACTATACATATAATAAATATTCTTGAAAAAAGTCATAAATTAATAATTATAATCGTATACAAATAAGCGCCGAAAATATGTAATATTTAATATGAATAAAAAATTAAAAATATGTAGAACTTATAAAAATATGTAATACGAACAGACGAATAGTTTGTGCGACGATTGAAAAGTCCGGCCATACACGACGTGGTTTACCAGGAATTTTTACTTGTACAGGTTTTGAAAACTGTTCAGTTTTCGAGAAAGAATTGAAAATTTATATTTTCTACCTGTACAGTTTTGCATATCGGAACGTATGCATGGTTTAACTGACAACTGAACAGGTTTTAGACATTTCAGTTTTGTTTTGCATGCATGCCATGGTGACAGATGAGGTTAACTGATGGTTCAAAGTTTAAACCTGATAATTTATCCCAACGTGTGTGTGCGCATTGCATGTACAGGTAAACCTGTACTTTTTAACTGCACAGTTTACTTCTGCAGGCAAGATGTATCGTGTATGGCCAACCTAACCGTCATTCTTTCGTATCTGGTATCTAAGTTACTATTAACATCCAGCTAATCCAATAAAAGTCCGATAAATATCAACAGATTATCGTTCTAATATTATCAATCGATTATAATTGGCAACGTTGGAAAAAAAGATTCGAGCGTTCTCAATCGTGTTACTAAAAATAACGTTCTCATTCGTATTTTACCGGTTGTGATCTGTAAATTGAAAGTATGTAAAAAAAATTATTTTATTATAATAACATTCAAGCTAAACTAGTTTGTTTCGGAAAAAATAAAATAAATTTTACTTTTAATATTTTTTTACATTATTAGTGTTAATATAATCACTTTGTATGTATTACTATATTATACCACTACTCTTAAATTGTTATCTGAGAAAATATACATGTATAAATTTAAATACACTTAATGTTGAATAAACTAAAAGTCACTGATCATTTCATTACTTGTGTGTGTTTTTGTTTTTTGTTACGAGTTTGTTTTACGAGTACATAATATGTTTAGTAATACTAGAATAATGTTGTCAATATGTTGTATTAAGCTACTGTTAACTGTTTGGGCATTTCAGTATTCTACAGCATCTAAATCTCAAACATTACTGTTAGTGAAAGAGATCAATAATCAAATTACTATAAAATCTTTACCTTACTACGCCAAGCCAGAAGAGATAATTATTGGTAAGGCCAAATATATTGACGGTATCAACAGCACGGGGCAAGTATTAATAAATTGATTTTTTATAAGAAAATTAAAAATTCAGTAAACCTTTAGATATGAAATTTTAAAACTTAAGTACCATAGGATGTAAATATTTAGATTCTAAGTTAAATTTTGTTTTGATTTTCGAAAAGAATAATTTGAATCAGGAAATTGTTTAAATATATGATAGTAATTGATCAACATGAAAATAAGTGTCCGATATCTGATTTCTGTAACTAGATTTTTTAGTTATCATCCAATTGAAAAAGTTGTAAATATTTCAACTTGAAAATGTAGTATAATGCTTTAATTATTTTAAGAAATATTTTAAAAGATGTCATGAAAGTCAGTATTTATCATAATGTGAGCATTCTTTCTTAACAATAATTCCTCTATCGAAAGCATAATCAATAAACTTATTTAAAAATGTAAAATGTATTCTATACTTTTCCACTTACTAGTATAGTATAACCTAGTAACTTGTACCTCATAGTAATACAATACTATAGGTGGGAAATAGAATCACATTTTAAGAAGAGATATTGGACTACATTTTTTTTAGTTCAGTTAAAAAATGTAAAAGTAAACCGCAGAATTAAACATGTTCACACCAAATTTAAGATAATTCTGAAAAGGTTTAAAATATATTTAAAGGGGACTTTAGTTAATTAGCTCCTTTGATCTCCATCAAGGATTAATATCTAAATAAAGTCATGCATTTTATTTTATTTAAGTATTAAATAATAACTTACAATATAGTAAAATAAATGGAGTCACACTTTAGTCGGTATATTGTTGTAAAAGTTGAATTTTTTAGTTGTTAAAATTAAAATATAAGAATTCCGATAGAATACATTCATTATTTTTTTTGTGATTTATAACTTCCAATTAAAAACGTGAACAGTGCTTACCAGATAAAATTGAAAATAAAAATTATATACATTTGAACTCTGTCCTTCGAGTTTTGATAAAGTCAATTAATTTTAATGTGTACTTTATTTATAATTGTTTATTTATTTAGTAAAGTATATGTAATATTATTAACTATGCCCTATACAGAGTGTCTCACGAAGATATACTTATTGCGATATCGCCTGAAATAATAAAGATAATTAAATTTTGTTTTTTATGAGATTCACAAGACTACAAATATGGATATCTATTACTTTTAATATATAGAAAAATAATGTACTGAATAGAATAGGTGTTTTGATACTATCTTACCTTGTTTTCTGATTAGTATTATTTTATAGCCTAATCGTATCATCCCCATTCGCTGAAAACCAAATTAACCGATAATCATGATGTTAAATTAATATAAAAAATTAAAACGTTAACATTTTTAAAAGAAAAATCTCTATAAGATAGTTATTAACAAATTTTTCGATAAAAATATAATAAAAAGTTATTTTTTAAAGTATTTTGCTAAACAAAAAAAAAAAAATATATATATATATAACTTAAGTATAATCATTTGTAATAATATATAATAACTTAATATAATAGAATTTTATGTTCATTATCTCAAGAGATATTGTAATGAATAGGACTAGGAAGTTGATGACCTTAAAAACATTAAAAAATGACCTAAAAAAAAGATGCAAATATAACATAAAAATGACAAAAAATGAACCATATAATTACAAATATTACAAATGGAGCAAAGACTTGGGAAATTCGAAAAACCGACGAGAAAATACTCTTAGTTTTTGAAAGAAAAATTCTGAGAAGAATTTTCGGACCTGTGAATGACAGTGCAACTAATGACTGGAGGATGAGAAAAACGAGGAATTAGACTCATTATACCAAAAACCGAACATCGTGGAAGCAATAAGAACTAAGAGACAAAAATGGGTAGAACACGCTTGAAGAAACCAAAACCCACTACTCCGTACAGTACTGAAAAAAAATCCCACAAGAAATAGACCCATTGGAAGACCGAGAATGAGATGGGAAGATAGAGTAAAAAATGATGTGGAAGAACTAGGAAGAGTAAATGATTGGAAGATGTGAGCAGCTGACTGAGATGGATGGAAGGCTGGATGTACAATGGGCCTAGAGTCCGCTAACACCCAAAAGAAAAAAAAAAATTACAAATAGGTATTTGTTTTAAATTAATAAAAATACATTTATTTAAATATTTTATTTTATTTTACTATAACATTCTATATAAATTTATCAAAACTTACAAATTACTCAAAATATGACATAAAATTGACAACAAATGTCCTTAAAATATGAAATAAAAAAATGACAAACATTTGTTTCACAAATTTATCAAAGCTTACAAATTACTCAAAAATCAAAACCATTGCATTGTACGATTAGAGCGTATTTAATGTTATCAAAAATAAATCAATGACGATTATCTGCTTATAAATATTTATATTTGGAAAAACTTCTCTCCACGTCCACTGAAGTAATTGGGAAACGCAGACGAGCACTAATCGATGTTTTAATTTTCGCCATTTCGAAAATATTACGAAAAAATAATAAAATTTAGATATAATAGGTATTATTCACTATAACATGACAATGAAGAGACGATTGTAATCGACGAAATAATACCGGATATTAATCGAATATTGGAAAAAATAATAAAATTTAGGTATAATACTATTCACTACAGGACGACAACGGCGAATGTAATCGACTAGATAAAATCGGACAAGTCTTAAGTTATCGGTATAATCGTCGATAAGAAAAAATAAAGAAATGAACTAGTGTGAAATCAGTAAAAATGACCAAAAATATCAAAAAATGACTTAAAAAGTAACAATCACCAAAAAATGCGAAAAATGCAAAATAATAATTATTTATTCGGATTCATATGCTAATGAAACACATTTGTGGCCAGGATAGCATCTTCTAAAAAATTCGAAAAAAAAAAATGCAAAATACATCAACTTCCGAGCCCAAGTAATGAATATATTTTTGTGAAACATTCCCATAATGATGTTCCAGAAAGTTGATTTAGGGAACAAAGTTAAATATTTTGGAGTCACGAATAAAATAGAAGACTATATTAAAGTGATATATTAAGTAATATGGATTTTTAATAATAAACTAAACTGTTTGAGTTTACAGAGTATATTATTCCCGTTTTCTGTTGAATGAATTTTTATTATATATATTTCTTCAAAAAACTTAATACAATATATGATTTATTATTATTTTATTTTGAACTAATTTTTACTTGTAAAATTTTAATTAATTTAGAGAGAAATATTAGAAACTTTTATATTTTAAAATATTGTTAAAATAAAATATGACAAAAGTAGAGAATATATAGTAAAGATTTTAAATTGGTGTTTTATATTTGCTGTACTTGTCCTCGTAAAGATATATAGTTTGGCTGCGGGAAGTTGTGCGTAATACTAGAATCTATTATTATTAAATATTATATAAATTAATCATATTTTTGTGTAATTTGGAGAAAAATTAAAATATAAATATAAAAAAAAAATTACTTTCACTATAACATATTATAGATTTTTGCTTGTTTTATATGTGTCCCCCGTAAAAAAATTAGTAAAAGCCAATTTGTGATCTAATACGAGTAGATGATGTACCTACCTAATGTTATTACGGATTTTATGTGAAAATAAAAAGATCAAATAATTGATGACGACGATAATGAAGAAGAATCGGAAAAAGACTGACAGATCCTCAGTGATAACTTACCAATAGAATAAAAATAATAAGTGAACTGCTCATATTTGAACTTCAATTGTATCATATTTATATTCATATTTTTACTATTTCAAAAATAAATACAAAATATATTTATTTTTTAATATTATATTAAATAATTCAAAATATTATTGAAACTCAGATATCGATTTAAGGATTTTATAAATGCACAATGTAAAACTGTACTTAAAAGTTAGGAAAAGTCAAAAAAAATTATAATAAAAATAATTGTATGAACAAATAATTTTATTTTCTTAAATTAACTTTCTAGAACAATATAAATTATTTTTTTGATATTATGAGATTTAAATATTCACTAAGTACAATATTTAAGAAAAATAAACTCTATAATAATTATTATTAAACAATGTTCTGAATATATGTAGTATTATAATACAAAAAATATATTGAAATACTTTTGTTCAAAAACTTTAAAGTTTGATGGTGTAGGTATATAATAATGATTTCATAAAGATGTTGATTATTTTTCCTAAATTCCCTTCATAATTCTGTAGTGCTTATTCTAGATCAGATAAACCAAATAATACAGTGATTGTGTAGTTTTATTTGTTGAGTGTAGTGTACAAATATTTTTGTCGACTAAAATACTTACATTAATGTCCTCATTTTTTTATCGTAGATGGGGTTACTTACAGATCAAAACTTCATATAATGCCTCGGATGTGGATCAAGCGTACGGAGCTGGTATTTAGAGCGATTGATGACCGCTGATCTAATATATAGTCATTGGTATAATACGGCCAGAAGATATTGCACTGATCGATCAGATGTATGCAAAGACTTAAAAGATTACATTATTACCAATAAGAATTGGATTGAATCGAAATTGAACGATTTCGACCCATATTGGTACCAAATATGCGTTTTCGCGGTTTTTTTTTTACCGAGTAACGTTCTGAAAAATGTCATCACTATAGATTGGCTTGTATTACAAACAACTTGATGGGTTGTATAACGGATATATGTTCGGAAAGTCACACAGAACGCCTAATTTGACGTTGGACAACTTATAGTGAGATTAAATGTTTGTACTACGAAAAGTTATATTATATTTTATGCACGCATATATTTTATTTTTAACTGGTTAAATGTCCTAAATGATTTAGGTGATATTTCGGTTGCTTTGAATCCATCGATGGAAGAGCGCAAGGTCTTAGGAAGCGGATCATGTTTTGCTCTCATTAAATTGCTACCAGGAAACAAAGATCTTTTGGTGTCACATGTTACGTGGAGTGGGTAAGGTACTCGTGAAATTTGTATTCGTTATTTTAGACTTAAGCAGTTTGATTTGTATGTACTGGGTGGTCGCAGATACGAAACGATGTTGAAAATACAGAAGAGGTACAGCTTAAAGTTTAGAGAGAGTAAAACGTCCAGAAAACTTATAGGTGGGTACGAGATGTCATTCAGTTCGTTTCCTGGAGGCATTCAATCGGGAGACGATTTTTATCTGATTTCCTCGGGTTTGGCTACGTTGGATACCACCAATGATAGTTACAATAAGTCTCTATGGTCTAACGTAAAACCAGCTGGCCAGGTAAACGATTCGATGATCGTGGTTATTACAATATATTGGCATCTATGTGCCTTATGTATTTTCAGATTTGAAATGTAACACAATAATTATTATAAATCTATAACAGATTATGGAATTTATGAGGGCAATGATCGCAAACCACTTGGCTCGAAACACAATGGAATGGATTCAACTGTTTAAACAGTATAACAGTGGCACGTACAACAACCAATGGATGATCGTTAACTACGGGGCCTTCCAGCCAGGAAGCCCGATACGAAATAAAAGCTTACTCCATGTTCTTGAACAGATGCCCGGTTATGTGGTGCACGATGACTTAACTACTCATCTAGTCAATCAGACGTACTGGGCTAGTTACAATATTCCGTTCTTTCCTTTTATATTCAACATAAGTGGTTCGAGAAAGATGGAAAAAAAATTCGGTGAATGGTAAACACAACAGCAATAGAGACCGCTAATGTTTAATTATTCCGAGTAATTGTGTTTTGTGCGTATCAACATTTTTACGACCGGTGCGTTTATGCTAAATAGGTTTTCTTATTCCGGCACACCACGGGCACGTATATTTGCCAGAGATCACAACAACGTTCACTGTGATAAATGCATCATACATGTCATGAGATCCAATGACTTCAAACACGATCCGGAATCTAGATGTATGAACTGCAATCCTCCATATTCGGCGGAAAACGCAATATCGGCCAGGTAGGCTTGCCAAAAAACACACACTTTACAATTAAATTAACGCGTAAATACTCATATTGAGTTGTGTACATGTTACTGTTATAGAAATGACGAATCTCGCCAACGGTACGTATCCCATACCAGCAATGCGCCATCGATCACACGGAGCCACGGACGTTAAAGTAACTTCATCTGGGCTATTTGAATATTTACAATTTAGTGCCATAGCTGGACCGACTCAAGGTACAAATTATAGTTTTGGACCATTTTGCTGGAGCAAATCGGATTTCAATAACGTTAGTCATCTAGGTCAGCCTGACTGTTTTAATTTCAGTTCAGTAACACATGAATGGAGCTTCTGAATTTATTTAACAGCACATGCACAAGCGCAATGCTATGTAATGTATAATGCTATATTGTTATAAACAAGTATATTATTGTAGATTAACAATTACGTACAGTTATGTGATTACTATCAGTGCAAATAAATACGTCAAGATTATGTGTATACTTAAACGCTTATCATTTAGTTTTGTATTGTGTATAACAATAAGTCAAGTATTATTATTTGAATTTGATCTTATAATATACTTAAACAATTTGATTTATCCATAAAAAACAGTTTTAGATAATTTTATAACGCTCTTAAAGTCTTAACAATGATTTATAACGTTTAGAGTAACGAAATGATTTTGTATAATTGTTTGAAGCACTTAAAAGTTTGGAAAACTACTTGATAAATCGTTATTTCATACTATAGAGAAATATTATATATTTTGATTTCGATTGCACCGCGTTTTGATCGACTATAACACAATGTGTGACAGATTTTATCGTTTACCAGCATATACGATAATGTGTATACAAACATAAAATATGATGGAGATGCAAAAATCCTTGTTTGGGTGAGATACAGGGACGAATGAATGATAATGCTGTATTAGTAGTTTTAAATGCTTATAAACAGTACAAATTTCATTAAAATATATTAATACTAAGATGTGACTTAAAAATTCTAATATAGTAAATAATAGAATCTTATTATACTATGCATGAGTCTCTAGAATCGTATTCAGGGATTCAATATATCATATGATGGCAGTATAAAGCAAATTACGTTATTGTCAATTTGATTTTTATTGAAACCTTCATTTTGCTAACAACTATATGATCGGTAATAATTTACTACTATTATCTAATCTTGTTATTTTTCTAGACAATAATTGTCTAATAGATAAATTGTTCAAATTATTGTTATTGTATTATTTATTTTATCAATGAGTTCTACTAGTTACTAACAATTAACATGTTTTGTTGTATTTTAAATAGTATTTAAAAAGTAAAAAATCCTACAGTTGCCATCGGATAGCAGTTTCTCTTTCACCTCTTTAAAGGCTGTAAGACCTACTCGGGAAGACCTACACCTAAAACGATGAAAGACTGCCGACCACTGAGGATCTTATTTCTATCTATCAATACGAACGAATTCTGTACATACATATAAAAGTATTATATAACGGAAAATATTAGTTTACGCCACACGGAAATTGATTGTGTGTAGTAAAAAATAGCCCCCTAATACGCGTGTACTCTGAAAGCTCGTGTGGCAACTAGCAAGCCTTGAACATTAACCCATTTTATCATAGACCACAGAAAAAGTCAAAAACTATTTTGTTAATCTTCTGCCGACACAATTTCCCAAGAAAACATGATGTTAATTTTTTATTGTTATAACTCAAGTTTTTTTTAATTTTTTTTATTCAACAGTATATTTTATATCTAATAGTGAGCAAGCAGATTAGTAAGATCCATTCTAAAAAAGGTTATCGCTACATATTTGCTGTATCACTAAATAGAGATGCATATATTTAATCCATTTTAGACTATAAACAACAATTATAAATTTCAATATTTCTATATAGATTTATTAAGTTTTGCCTATAATTTAAAGTATGAAGTTTTGTCAGAGTCATATGTCTCATTCTCTAAAATTTAGAGTCTAAATCAATTGAAATATAGACGACCTCTAATGACCGTAAATGGTAATTAATAAAAATAAAAAAATATGTGTATTATATACAAATATTATAGTAATTATAGAATATTATATTATTAATAATATTTATAATCCACGGTATATCAAAAAAATCAATAGTTCAATGTTCTCGTATGATAAAAAGGAAAAAAACCATTTATTATAATTTATTCATCGATTCTTAAGATAGTATTTTAATTGAGCAGTTAAAAAATTAATCATAATATATTTAGTATAGATAACACACATTAAGAATAATTCATAATATTTTTCTATAAGATTTACATTTTTATCCACGAGAAATGTGTGATATATTAATAAGCAGCAGTTTGATGTCTCGTGGCGTTGTTTTTATTTATATTTTACTGTTTAGTTAAAATGTAAAAATAGTTGGTTAGTTACTGAATTTGAGTGTTTATCAACGTTAGTTGATTTAAAACCTTTGTCACTTGGAGTAACTATAACCTTCTCAATACAGCCATGTGTAAATTATATTATATACATCACTAGTATATACAATCACTAGTAGTTTTTTACATTTCCTATACATATATTTTTATCTTATATGATTTGATCTTAGTAGACAAATATGAAAATCGTAAATACTTTAATACAAAACTAATGATTTTGTTTGAAAAAAATACGCTTAATAGTTTTAAAATTTGTCAAATAAGAAAAATTCCCAGTAAGATACAAAAATTGAGCAGGAAACTGAAACAGAATGTTTGTCCTTCACATTACTTTAGTTTTTGGGAGCGATATTGAAGATAGACAATCGTACAATGTGTTGAACACGAACCAACATTTTTAGTTGCATCGTCATATTATCGGAAGTATGAACTCCACTACTCGATAAAATTGAAATGAAAATGGTGTATTTCAATATTTGAAACGTTTCACTTAGTCATCAATATTGTTTATATTATAATTGTTTTTGATTGAATATTTCAATGAAATGTCATTGAAGGGCAAATTGATGTTTCATAACTATTAGTATTTTCTATGTACTTTATTACTTCACTACCTATTTATGTTTGGGATGGATTAAAAACATTAAACAATTAGGATAAGGACATATTAGGAGGAATGTTTAGAAGATTTAGATAGTTTTTGTTTTTAAAGATTTAGGAAAAATAATGTAACATGATTCCAGTATTACACATGTACTTAAAAATTACCTATATGTACATGTATACTACGGTAAAATTAAATTAGTATTATGAAATAATATTTTAATTTTAGCGACACTTATTATGATTATACTCGTATTTTAATTATAATTTGTCAATGAAATAATACGTGTACCTACTCTAAAAATAGTGCAAGTGTACGTACACAACATATACGGACCAAGTCCAGGAATACTTTGTCTTGAGTAACCAATGTGATCCGCTGATGCCACATATATGAATCGTTTTACAGATGTATCATTTATTTGATATATTATAAGTACATGGGCGTAGCTAAGATTTGAATCAGAGGGGGGGCAAAAACATAAAGCGATTAGTGTTAAACTCGTAATTCAAATAATCTACAGATAGACTATTGGATAACACATAAAACGTCAAAACGATTACACGTGTAGATAACACTCGGTCCCACTAAACTATTTTTAGACTTATATCTTATTTAATTTTTGATTTTAATGTAAAACTTACACGTTTGGTATTAACAAATAGAATTCAGTTTGAGGCGCAGGGGATGGCAAGTGCCCCCCTACCCCACCCTTGCTAAGCCCATGTATAAGTACTAAAAATTTGTAAATTTTTATCCAAAATATTAAGACATTTTCATTTAAGATATTCCAATTTATACTTTACGCACATTATAACACACTATATGTTAAATGTTTAACAAAAATTAAATTAAAAAAATATATTGCAAAAACTATTTTTCAATAGTTATAGATTTGAATCAGTTACATTCTTACATTATGCAGTTATTAAATACAGTTAGTCAATGGGGCTATTCAAGAATCATTGCATAATTTTTGTTATTCATCAATATATGTATGTTAAACCCCAGTTTTTTTAATCTCAAGTCTTGTCATCCACACCCTTAGCATTTATACTTATTTAAAAATTATTATTGATTATTCAATGGGATATATATACATGATAAAATATAATTTATTTGGTAACTTATACATGTTCAATATTTAACGACTGAATATGGCTGTGATATGAGAAACGATAACTTTAATTCCTTAAAAAAGTGCTAGGGTGACATGTACCCATTTGTTTCAAAACAACACTGGTTGATCGGTTTTATTTGAAACCAATATATTTTACAATTATATTATTAATTTCATTTCAAGTTCACTTGTTGATTATTTTCTAATGTTTTCACCACTATAAATAAATGTGCCGATTAATTTACAAACATCGCAATGTAGCTAAATGTTTTTTTTTTTTATGAGATGTAATGTAATTAAAAAAAAAAAGTAAATCCTTGAATTATAATTCTTAAAATATAACTTAAACAGTCTTATACTTTGCTGTTTTTAAATAATTTAATTTTTGAAAAAAATTATTATGCAAAAAGACATTTGTAATATTTAATAAAGTGAAATACATACATATTACAATTTTACAATGACTTCATAAATTCGGATTTACTAATTTGTATAAAAATAATTAATATTTAGAATATTATTTATAATGCTCATTTTTTTGATGTGATATGAAGACTTTTTGTAGGTAATTATAATCAAATATGACTGGCTATTCAAGCATTTCAATTAATTTGAATTCAAGATCTATGATTTTCAATAATTCAGTTGGATTGTCTCGATATTAAGCAGTTCTCATTTGAAATATGTTTAATCAACATAGATAACTAAAATAAAAATTGATACAGATATTGGTCTCTGTGTTGATCCAAGTATAAATGTACAGATTAATGTTCTACTATAATATTATAATTGTTACAATATTATTAATATATTGTTTACAAATATTTACAGATCTGAGTACTTGAAATATTTTCTGAATTAAATTATAATTTATAATTTAATTAAATTATACAATTATATACGAACAAAAAACTATAAAATCACTTGAAAAAAACTATAAGAAAATTAATATCCACTAAGTTCACTGCTCTACGAAAAGAAATGTAATAAAACTATGAATAAATAATAATTATATATACATAATGCATGAGTTTTATTTTACATTAGCAGTAGGTATAATTTATCTTTTACATTAGTTATAGTAAAATATTTTTTAATCTTTTCAGAAAGGAGAACTTACAAAAATATTTATAATTGAGTAAAAATAAAATAATATAGCGAAATGTAAAACAATATTTTACTCACAATAATATAAAATACTTAAGACGAAATAAAACACAATATCTATGCTGTGTGATATTACATTCTTTTCGCTGCTATAAAATAACGTCTCAATCAAACTGAGTCCAATTAATATTAATCAAATTATCTTGGTGAAACTGTACGTTTTTCCAGAGGATTGAA